AAGGGGATTGTCCATCTATCTCCAGAGGAGCAGCTGGTGGAATTGAACCATCTAACTTTGGGTTGCCAGCACAACTCCACACCACTAGGCCACTAGTGCTCTCTTTTGGTAAGGAGAGTTAACTCTGCCGCCTTGGGCCCACTAACTGTTAGACAACTTCAATATGAATGAATTATAGGAGAAGTGAAAACAAATCCAGAATTATCCTTACCTCTACTCTTCCACAAAACTGTTTTCTGGTTTGAAATTCTTTTATGGAAAAGGATCTGCTTTCAAAGTCATGCTGGTGAAATCAGGGTCTCTAAAATGAAGTTGTCCCATCAGGTTAATCAACTTTGGTCATCTAGACAAAGCATGGTTAATGTAAATGCAAAAGTTGTTCTGACCCTAGAAAGTAACTCACCTGATTGGTCTGAGCAGCAACTCACTTTGGTTTTGCTATTGGATTGAGGGGAGACACCACTTGGCACCTCTGAGACCAAAATGTCAAACAGTGATGGCTTCCTCTACTATCCTGGTACTTAGAATGCTCTACCTCTACAATGTTCTTACCTCCTGAATCCATAATATAAATACAGAATGTCCACTCTACAACATTACTAAGAAACTGGTCTGTGCCGTTCTTAGATACTCCGCCTCTCTGCAGAAACTGTCACCCATTCTGAGACTGCCAGTTTGCATGGAAACACTTCTTGTGGCATAATATTCCACCACTGTGAAGACTTTTGCAAGAACATCAGGACTTCTGGCAAAGATATTTAAGAGCATTTAATCACCAGACTTTCTTATCAGCTTACCTAGCACACATCAAAACATCCAAAATATCCCTGACCACCAATGGACAAATAGTTGTGTTTATTCCCAGGTTATCCCCACATGTTTCTTTACCTTTTAAACTTACAGTGGTTCCCTTTGGATCTCTCAGGGTCAAATTATTAGTTAGTGGCTTATTGAAGTCACTTGCTATTTCTCTTCCTTTTCTCCTTTCCATCATTTGAACTCTTAACTATCTGTGTACCCTGTTCAAACCTATTCATCCACATTTAGTCTTAATAGCAGTTCTGGGAAACCTTTTGGAAGGGGAAAGTTAGAAGCTAAAGCTATTGACACAAATGCAGTTTGGGATTACCTGTGGATTTTGATCATCTCTTCAATTCCTGACCCCCTCACCAGCATGGATAAGTCAGTATCTGAGTATATGAAGAGCCACTAATGACAGAAAACACATTTACTTTTCTTGACACAGTCAAGGGGCAGCTTGCTACAGTTGCTGTTGCTGCTGGTGCACGGTTGCCAAGCCCCACAGGCTTGCAGCCTTTTCGGTGGTTTCTGTCTCCATCAGCATGGTGGGGACGTGAGGCAGTGACACAGACACCTGGCTATGGCTTGCAGCAGGGTTACACAACCGTACACACAAAACGGTGGAGAAAGAGCAAGAGCGAAAAGGATTCTGATTAGGGTCCAAATCACTAGTCATTTCACTTCATGAATAAAAGCAAGTGCCTTAAAAGCTTAACATTATTTACAATGCTCATATTTTTTTTCCCCCCGAACGTCCATCCAAAGCTGAGGACCACCACGCAACAGGGAACAGTTCAATGAACTATGTACAGAATTTACAAAGAAGTTTACATTATATTCTACATTCCATGAACAAGTTGGCATTTGTGTTTACTGTTTGCTTTCAGGAAACTCAGGTATTTTTGTTTTTCTGTCTTCCTATCCCAGTAAGTAAGTGCCAATTGAAACAGACATGAGCAAATGCTTGCATGTTTCTTTTTCCCCACCCTCCTGGGATATACATTTTGTTTGAGGGGAAAAAACGGCGGCACATCACCTTTGGTAAGATACTAATCAAAATAGTCCACATAAGAAGTCTTGGAGATAGTTTCCTTCTAGCATTATCAATATGTCTCTTTGTTTGTTGTTACTTGGCAAGTTTGAACTGAGCTCTTTTCCTAAATGAGTATTTATAAAATAGTCATTGATTTTAAAAAGATGCAATTTAGTCAACATTTCTTTGTATTGTACATAATATTTGTTTAAGGAAATCCTACACTTGGACCCATAAACCGAAGTTTATTCTCTGCACCACATTTTTCTCTTTGCAATTTCAAGATTCCTCATTGATTGTAACACACAATAAAGATGATATGTGTGGAGAACACGTATCATTTGGTCAGAAGAATCACCAACCAGTCTGCTGTTTCTATTTGGCAACATAGAGGGTGGAGGCAATGATCCTAGGTAATTTAAGCCAAAAATATGTCTATACCTGGGTCTTTGCCTCCCAAAGCTGGTAAGTGTAATTAATGCACATGTCACCCCTGATATTTTAAGCCATGGAACATGAATGGAAAGGAGTGCAGTTTCCTGATTGTGAAGTGAAAGATGGAATGTCTGTTTGTTCTACATAAGGTTTAGACAAGATTTATGAACTGCGAGCATGGGGTTGGTTCCCTGTATGTGACTGTGGCATGAGAGAGTGAATTCTTCCAAAATTTTCAGTCTCTGCTACCACTTTAAGTAATGCAGTAGATTATGGGAATTTTCATGACAAATCGAAAACAGCCTGGATATAATGGAATGCTCACTACTCTATAATGCATTGATATGAATCTCTCAGGAATGGCAGTCAGTTTGAGGGCACTTAGGAATGTCTAATAACTTTCATGCTTTATGGAAATCAGTTTGGACAGGATGAGAGAGAAGGGAAGGAAGAATTTCCTTTTCCACGGGCTGGTTAGCCTGGAAGAGGAGTAGATTCTAATGTAGAAGCAAGTAGATCCAAGGAACAGAGAGTTTAACCAGAAAGTATCCAGAAAAAGGAAGTGGAGACAAGGGTCATTAACCAGAAAACTGGCAGTTTCAGAATTCTTTTTGCCTCTGAAATCAGACCATTTAAGAGATTTTTTAAAATGGTGCTCTGACCCCTCAGTAAGCCAGGAGGATATACTGGGACACCACTTTGTGTCTGAAGAGCAGATTCAGGAGCATTAATTTTACTTTCAACAAAGGTTGAGATGTAAAAAATCAGGATGTCCTCTTTTTTTTTTTTTTTTAACCACCTCTCAAAGATGCTTTACTTCTGATTTTCAGAAGCATAAAACTCTACAGACTTTTTAAGGCAAGGTTGAAAAAGGTAATACAATGCTAAATGGCCTTCATCTTCTCCAAGAAGAGAGATCCAAACAAAGAAATCAAGAGAAATTGTTTTGTTAAGAAACACATAGATTACAGACAACTACCTTTCCAATTTATCCTCCCACCCTTAAAAGCTTTTTTAGAAGTGCTTTGGCATCATCACGATTCAATTTTGTCAGGAATTGGCCCAAATCACCCTTCCAGAATTTAAAATAATGGCTACACCGTGGTCACTTGCAATACAAACCTTACAATCACTGGTAAAGCCACGTTCTTGTCTAATTGGCCATTTTGTGCTGATTACTTAAAGCAAGGCAGCTCTGCCAAGGAATTGAGGAGAATTTTAATCTGCTGAAGCTAGGATTTCCATGACCCTGATAATCCATCTGAAAATTTGGTCTCCATGCCTTACTAATTTCTCACAAGAACTTCTTTTCCTCCCCAAGTAAAACAAAGATTCTATATGCCTATTAGATGCTTGGTGTCTCCAACCATCATCATTCATTTATTTAGGGAAGGGCTCTGTTTTCTCAAATGATCTGAAAAGAAATATCTCATAACTCTCTCCTTTTGGCCTCATCAGCATGAATTTAGCCTTATATTTCCAATAAAGACTATAATTCCCTGAAGCTTATACAATAGCAAACTTGAATCTTATCACAGCCTTCAGAGAGAGTCAGGTCTTTACCTTCATCATTAAGTCGACTCTTATTCAAGGGCCCTAGATCAGGCCCCAAATTTACTTCATCAAAATTTCCTTAGAATTTCACTTGACCTTGCAAATAAACAGAGAGTTCTTTAATTTGTCATTAGGGGATGTTGAGTCAAAATAATAAACAATAGTATTTTGATGGAACAAATCCCAACTCTACTTGGTTGGACTTGCATTGGTGGGCTGTTGAGGGGTGCACTTTCTGAGAGTCAAGCCCAGTGGTAATGCAGGAGGAGCAAAGATAAGGCAGAGCAATAATGGGAGTGAATAATGGACAAGGCTTAAATTGTAGGGGTTAGTGTCAGTGTCTCAAGGCCCAGTGCTTTTGCTAATACTGTTATCTGTGATTTTTGTCATTCTAGCCACAGAGGAGAATGGTGTTAGAAAGGGTGTCCTGTATTTCCTGAAGCATTCATTTCCTCTTTCCGTATTGGAATGCAGTGCTTAAAAAACAAGGCCATCACGTGCTGAGGCCTGATACGCGCAGAGACTGCTCCGTGGAAGGCTAAGAAATATATACTATTTGATTAAAGATTTGGCAGTTCAGATAACTGCCCAGGCACCCTATTCACAGCACATAGATCTTGCCTTCCTCATGGAAAGGGCAATGCTCTTCTCAAGCAGAAATGGCCCGCTGTGACCTTCATTCACTCCCCGGCCCTTTCTCTCACTTGTTCTGAAGCAGGGATGGGAAATGTGATGGCATGACTTCATGGCACAGCGTCAAGGACTCCAGGATCATGGAATGAATTTGAGGGCTTCTAGAAAAATGGTCACAGTCCCCCAAACTCCTCATTCTCAAGAAAAAAGTTCTCCATGGCTACCAGATTGGAGTCTACTGTTAATGGACATTTTGCCTGGAGATCTCAGAGAGGAGCATGTGTCAGAAGACTCAGCTGAAATAGGAGGTGAAGAGGGACAGTTTCCTTGGCTGGTGCTTGTCAATCCCTCTCTCCTCTCCTCTCCCAAAGGAGCCAAGCTCCTCTCTAGGAGGGTGTTGAGGGCAATGTGCAGGTGGCAAGGGCTCTTTGATTCTCTTCTAAGCTCCTCTATACTTTCCCCTCTTCCTGGAAATCTGTAACTTGTCAATGGCTTTTTCTTCTGATCCTGGAAATTGTGTTGTTGTGTTTTTTTGTGTGTTTTGTTTTGGCAGCATGAGATTGTTACAGTTTCCCAGGAAGCAGTGCGGGCAGAGGGTAGGTCCTCTTTTCAGATTCCTGTAAAAAGGAAATCAATAAACTCCAAGGAGACTAGGAAAAGACGGCTAAAGATCTACCTGTCTAACTCCTCTCTTTGTGTTTGTTAGTTTAATTTTTGTAAACATGGCAATTAATAGAGCTCTTAAAGAGCTGATAACCTGGACCACAGTAGACTGGAAGAAAAAAAAAAAGGTTGGTTTTTTTTTTTCTTTTTTCTTTTTTGAAGTAAACATGGTGCAGTGATAAGATTGTTATGCAACACCTAAACCCAATTGGATGGCTGAATCTCCTACCTCAAAAAACTCAGCAGGGTCGCTGCTGGGGACCTGTGGGGTTTTTGAAAAAACAAAACAAAACAAACAAGAGAAGAAGAAAGTAGTCTAAATCAAGCCATGAGGACAGACCTTAGTGTACATAGTAAAGCCAATAAACGACGTTGAAAAGAGAAAAGGTGATGGGGAAAAACATCCTGGACCACTTGTCTATGGAGTTGACGTCAGTCAAGTCTGGGATTTTGACTTTGAGCTGCGAGGCGCGCCTGCGGATGCGGCCCTTGCTGTGCACTCCGTGCCGGTCCAGGGCGCGCCCGTAGGCTTCGCGGCTGCCCAGGGGCTTGCGGTACTGGATGCTGGCGCTGTCGTACGAGTACATGGTGGCCTTCGGGTCGCTCATACTCGTGAGCACTTCCGAGCCGGTCGTCTCGTTCCTGATTTCCAACGTGCTCAGGAGAATATTGCCGTGGGCGTCGACCTGATGATGACACAAAGAATATGCTCAGATACAACCGCCAGGGCGCTCGAGTCATTACCCCTTCTTGATAACACTGCCTGCTACTGTAATTCACCTGCGAGTCGGAACCAACTCCTGGAAGACTCTCCAGCGGGTTTTCTGAAGCAGTAAATCGCATTGGAGGAGATTATCCATCTTCCTCCCGCAGAGAAAGTGCTGGATTCGAACTCTGTGCCTTCGGGTTAGTAGTGTAACGTCTTACCACTAAGCCACCAGCGCTCCCTGATGACACCACCTCGTGTTTATTCAACATTGTCTACTAGACATCTGGTTCTATGTGCTTCCTGTACATGGAGATTACCTCCCTTTTCTATCGCTACCATCTTCCTACCGATTATTTACCTACCTATTACTTCCTTACCTGTTTAGGTGGAACTCGGGTGGCATAGCCTTTAGAGGGCTGTTCTGCTAATCCAAAGGCTGTGGTTCCTCTGGTAGTTCAAATCCACCAGCGGTTCTGTTTTTCGGTTCCAGCAGTAGCCTTGGAAGACCACTGAGAAGTCAGCCATGAGTCAGATCCACAGCTCCATGGTAAAGAGGTTTTGAATTTTGTTTGTTGCCAGGAGGGACGGGTCCTTGGAGAGGGACATCATGCTTGGGAGGGTGGAGGGACAGCTCAGGAGGGGAAGACCCTCTGTGAGATGGATTGATTCGGTGACTGGGGTAATCGGGATGGGTGTGTCAGAGGCGGTGCGGTTGGCGCAGGATAGAGCAGGGTTTAGAGCTGTTGTGCATAGGGTCGCTATGAGTCGGAAACGACTCGATGGCACATAACAACAACAACAACATAGATCAAGTATCTCCACTCACAAAGACCAGTGTGTGTGTGTGTGTGTGTGTGTGTGTGTGTGTGTGTGTGGTGTGTATGTGTGCATATACATCTGTGTTTAGCCATAGTGGAGGTAGGCGCCAGAGAGTTAGAACTGACTTACAGCTGTGTGTGTGTGCTAAGTGGTGGTCTCATTATGTGCAGGGGAGCACTGGTGGCCTAGTGCCAAGAAACTGCGCTGAAATCCTGAAGGAATATGGTTCTAATCCACCAGCTGCTCCGTAGGAGAGGGATGGGCAACAATCTCCCACACAATTAACTGCCTATGAAAATCCACCAGAGGGTCAGCTATGGGTCAGTTCCGACTCAATGGTACCCAAGAATAACCATGCTTCGCGCATTCAAATCAGAATAGAACCATAGTAGACCTGATTTGCCCATTTCCCCACCCCAAGCATAAACTGGTGGATTTGAACTATATGCTTTTGGATTAGCAGTGCAACCAACTCCTTACCACTAGACCACCAGGACTCTCTTCCTCATATGTATATCAATGTTTACACACACACACACACGCACACACACACACACCCAATCTCTATCTGCTTATCTACTATCTATTACTATAATGTATTTTTATTTGTTAAAAAGTGGTACATAGGAACATTTACAAAACAAAACAAGTATAAATACTATAAGCATATAACCTCACCTTCAGAGTCAGTTATTATTAATATCTTACACTTTTTACCTATTCAAATATACTTGCAAACACAATACAATTTGTTTTCTAACCCATTTTTGTCAGTGAGTAACATAACCTTTTTCACATTAATGACTATTTCTCTGTGCCATGATTTATTAAGCTCATGTGGATAAAACATATCTGGGTTTACTGTTAGACGGCAGAGCCATTTTACATTTGCCTTTATAAATAAGGGGAGCTGTGGGGGTGTAATGCATAGGGAGATGTGCTGATAACCCAAAGTCCACTACTTTCTGGTGATCCAAATGTACCAGGGACCCTTCAGGAGAAAAATGGGCAGTTTTGTCCTGTGTGATTTAAGCTTTGGAAACCCACTAAAGGATCAGCTATGAGTTAGCTCTGACTCATCAACAATGAGACGGAGAATTACAAACAAGGCTGCATGGAGCATCTTGAAGCTTTAGGTTAATTTTCAAGAGCAGGATTAATAAATCAAACCAATATACTTTACCATAACATTTGTTCTATTGTTGTTGTTCACTACCGTTTCTTGCTATGCCAATGATCACTCTTGCCTATTAGCTCCTGGTTCTTCCCCATGGTCTGCCCTCCTCACTCCCTCTCCACCTCCCATCCATACCCAACATGAGAAGTACAGGAAATGTGCGCACAACGTGGCCATCTTTGACTTCAAGCTAATTAGTCCCGGTAATGTATCCTGTAGGATGTTAACTGGAAGGTCAGCAACTTGAATCCACTATCACTTCCTGAGAGAAAGATGAACAGCTACTTCCCCATAAAGATTTGAAGCTACAGAAAGCTGATGGGTTGCTGTGAGTTGGAACCAACTTGATGGTGGAGAGATATTTTCAGTTGGGCTTTTGTTTGTTTTTTTGTTTGTTTTTGTTTACAGGGGGAATATTAAGTGGCTCTGAGTGGTGACATGGTTAAGCATTCATTGTTAACCAAAGAGTTGGTGGTTTGCACTGACTTGGTAGCTCTGTGCGAGAGACTGTGCTATCTACTTCTGCAGAAACTACAGCTAAGAAAACCGTCCATACTCTATTTTGCAGGACCCAATTCAATCCATAACACTCAGAATCACTGTGAATTGAAATCTGCTTGATGGAACTAATCAGCACCCATAACTTTGTTTGTAACAAATATTGACTGAAAGTAATCTCAATCCAGAAGCATGTATACAACACTTAGTGTGAATTATTCAGTGTGCTAATATTGCTAAATTAAAACAGTGATCTTAAAGATTCTTTAAACTCATTTGCACGTCTGAATTATGTGCTTGCCAGACAATCTAGTTTGTAAGATGCATCCAGTTGATCCAGTTGAAGTTGTTTTCATTATTTGGTCCCACTGAGTTGATTTTGACTCTCTAAGACCCCATGTAATTTGTATGCTGTTGAGTCGGAAATGACTCATAGCTGGCCCTCCAGCAGGTTCTCAGAGGCTGTAAATTGCTCAGGAGGTGATTGTCCATCCTTCTTCAGCTGGTGGATTTGAACCATGTTCTTTAAGGATTGCAGCACAGCTTCTTACCATGAAGTAATTATAATTTGATGTAATGATCAAGTTGCCTGTGATCATAGTGACTCTATGTACATTAGCTCTGAACTCTGCTCTATTATGAGCCAATCTCATAATCTCTGATAGACAAAGAGGTGGTAAAACTCTATACACAGATGATATGATAATGTATACAGAAAATCCCAAGGACTTAACAAACAGAGAAAAAAACCCTTAATAAGCCTGGTAGACTTAGTAGACCAGTTAAGGAGAGTGGCAAAAAATAAGATCAATATATAAAAATCAATGGGATTCCTCTATAGTAACAAAGGAAACAGGGAAAGCAATCCTCTTTCTTTACATTGTTATTGCTGATTACCATCGACTGAGCACGACTTATAGCGACCCTATGAACAAAAGACCTGAAGCCTTTCTATAACTATTGTCCTTTCTCAAAGTCATAGAGTTTCCAGAGGCATGTTGTTTAGGAAGTGGATGCCACTCCTGCTTTCCAACCACAAAGTGAGATACTTGGGAATAAACCAAATTGGAGACACAAAAGACCTTGGTAAAGAAAACTACAAAACCTCACTGCAAGAAACAGTAAGAAACCTATCTAAATGGAAAAATATTCCTTGTTCATGGATTATTGTTGTCAGGTGCTGTCAAGTATGACTCATAGAGATCTTATGAACAAAATATCTAAACTTTGTTCTATCCTGAGCCATCCTCACACATCTTGACACACAAGAGCCCATTGCAGCAGTCACTGTGTCAATCATTTGATTGAGGGTCTTCCTCCCCACTGACCTTCCACCCTTCCTAGAATCATGTCCTTCTCTAAGGAATAGAGCAACATGCCCTAAGTATGTGAGGTAAAGCCTCATCATTCTTGCCTCCAAAGAGCATTCCAGCTACACCCTCTCCAAGACATATCAGTTTGTTCTCTTGGCCATCTATGGGATGTTCGGTGCTCTTCTCCAGCACCACAGCTCAAAGGTGTCAATTATTTTTCTGGGTAGAAAGACTCAATAGTGAAAATTACAATCCAACCAAAAGCAATCTACATGTTTAACACAATCCCAATAAAAATTCCAAATTCGTTTTTCCAAGATATAAAAAAAAATGCAATTGTTGTTATGTGTCATCGAGTCATTTGCGACTCATAGCGACCGTCTGTACAAGAGCCCTAAACGCCATTCTAGCCTGTGCCAACCTCGCTGTCTCAAACACATTCATTCCCACCACTCCACTCACAGAATCGATCCATCTCATCGAGGGTCCAATTCATCAATTTGATCTTCTCCTGATTATGCATTTCTGGCTGTATTTGTCAGCCTCTTTATACCATAGATTAGGCTTTCTAAGTTTGGAGCGTTAGTTTCTTTAAAACTCTTAGAGAATCAAGTGTTGTTTTTTAAAGTAACACACTTGGGGTAATTTTGCTAGGTTTTTCTAGACTATAATTTTTCTGGAAGCAGGCAACCAGGCCTTTTTCTTACAAAGCCACTATGGGTTTTAACTGCCAACCTTTTGGCTAGCAGCCAAGGTCTTAATGCTGCACCATCAGGGCTACTTGAGATCTGCTTATGGAGGTAGAAGCTTGGTAAAAAGAGACAGAGAAAAGCATTATTCACTCACATTTTACCATTGAATAGGAACCAATTTGTTGTAATAGGGTGGCTAGGAATCGTTGACTTAATAGTACATAACCCAACAACAACAGTTAATTGCCAGAACTGAGATTTAAGTGATTTCTATCTTATTTAACATTCATGTGCTCTCTAAGGCAAAAATGAAAAAAGTCATGCATATGGAAGTTTCATCACTAAAGAAGCATGTTAGCTTGGAGTGTCATGGAACAAAGACGGGAATCTATCTATCTATCTACCTCTCTATCTATCTATCTAACTATCTATCTATCTATCTATCTATCTATCTATCTATCCACACACACACACACAC